GTTGATGCATGGGCAACAAGCATGAGTTGATGGTTGGACTAGATGACCTTAGAAGTCTTTCCAACCTTAATGATTTCATGATTCTATGATTCTATACTGCTTGTCAGTATGAGCTGGGAGAAAGCAGAGGAGAAAGGGCAGCCTGAGAAGTGGGAGCCCACGGAGAACCACGGCCTCTGCAGCTCACCAAGCACACTCACACAGCTCTCAGGGCTCATTACCACCGAATTCCTCCTTCCTCCTTTTCCCAATGTACGTTTCATAAATTGCAGAAGCCACGTCTTTCAGCATTAAAACGTAATTAATGATTTCACTGTAATGAAATTAATAATTAACTGGAAAGACATTTGAACCCTTTGTTGAACAAAACTCACTAATATTATGATGTATTAGGACCGTCTGGGCTAGTCTGTCTCTAGCAGCACTATTGTGCTGCTGGCAGGAAGCCAGGAGCTGCAGAAAACATATTTTCTTCCTGTCAGAGCCTTTCTGACAGGCCACTGCAGCACAGTAGCAGCCCCACTCGCAGGCACCGTATGATCCTGGCTTCTGGATCCTTTCAAATACAGGAAAACAAAAGAAAAGGTTATACAAAGATGAGTGGTGCAAGGGTTCCAGCTGGCCAGCTGCCCACCAACCTGCTGTCATGTGTGGGATGTGCAAGCAAGAGCATTTTTAAAAGAATTTAGGCATCAATATTTTGATGTCTTCTTCAGAGGATGGTGTCTACTTGGCAAAGAAAGACTAGGGAAGCCATCAGTCCCAGGACAGGAACAAGGCCTCAGGACATGAACACCCTGCACAGCAACGACCTGTGTCCTCAACTTTGAAGTATGATCCCCAGGGCACATTTCTTTCATATCCATCTGGTGTCATTGCCCTGGTGATAGCCAGCAACATTGCCTATGGGTTCCTTGAGCTGATCCCACCAGCACTGTGCACAGGGTTAAAGTTGGATATTAGGAAAAACTTACTCTCTGAAAGAGTGTCGATGGAGTGACACAGCTGCCCAGGAAGGTGGGGAGTCACAGTGTCCCAGAACCGTTGAGATGTGGCACTGAAGGACATGGGCAGTGAGCACAGTGTGTACGGCTTGGGCTTGGACTTGATGATCTCAGTAGTCTTTTCCGATCTTAATGATTCTATGATTTTAGAGGTCTTTAGGTCTATTGAAAATCTTCATCTGCTGGAAACACATGAGGCTTGAACTCCGAAACTTTGCATAAGGCCTTTAAGACCTAAGACTCAAAACAAGCGATTAGTGACCTCTGCAATACCACCTTAGCTTCCAGCTGAGCAAGCTCTCTTCTTCGGCACTGAAGCATCTTAAACTAAGGTTTTAGCTTTCCCCCGAAGAAAACTGAATTAATCAATTCCTCCTCGGCATTGAAATAAAGCTCTCTTTCTGCTAGGTGGGTCAAAAACGCACAATCTATTTCAACTGTTCTGTTCCCATGAATTCTATTACAATACATTGCAAAAGGGAAGATTACAGAGAAGGCAGAGCCAGCGGCATGCCTTGCTTTATGAGGGGGAAAAAACACACACACAATTTATTTTTCATTGCTTTATGATGAATATGAATTCAATTACATGCAGAGGAGAACTGCGGTAGTCAGGCAGAATTATACTCAGCTAGTAAGAAATATAATAGCTTTTAACAAGGAGAGCTTATCATCAAGGTTCAGACAAGCTTGAGCCCATGTTGCACCTGATGAACCTGCAAAAGGAGACAATGGCTATCAGAGCTGAGAATTAATCTCTCATCTCATTGCATTGAGGAGAGGGAAGGGAAGGGAAGGGAAGGGAAGGGAAGGGAAGGGAAGGGAAGGGAAGGGAAGGGAAGGGAAGGGAAGGGAAGGGAAGGGAAGGGAAGGGAAGGGAAGGGAAGGGAAGGGAAGGGAAGGGAAGGGAAGGGAAGGGAAGGGAAGGGAAGGGAAGGGAAGGGAAGGGAAGGGAAGGGAAGGGAAGGGAAGGGAAGGGAAGGGAAGGGAAGGGAAGGGAAGGGAAGGGAAGGGAAGGGAAGGGAAGGGAAGGGAAGGGAAGGGAAGGGAAGGGAAGGGAAGGGAAGGGAAGGGAAGGGAAGGGAAGGGAGTGTTAGAGAAATCCTCAGTCACAGCCAGTTCTCTAAGCACGCTATTGGGCAGCAGGGAGCAGCTAGATCATCCCTTGGGACATAAACACAACAAAAGCAACTCAGAAAACATGCTCATCTCCATCCCTGTTGCTGTTGTTTTTCCCACCAGATGAAGTGCATCTCTTACTGCTCCTTGTTGTCATTTCCAACAGTCTAGTTAAGTTTGTTCACAAAACCCACATGCCAGACAACTGTCATATGCTATGCATTAACCTCACACACATTGTGAGCCTCCCAGATTGCCACTGGTGCTTGTGCTACATAATGTGTCCAGGATTCTGTCTTCCAGGTAGCTCTCACATTGTTTCTTGGCATGCTTAGCAACTCCAGATCAGAAAGGTTATGCTAATGCAACATGCCATGCACCCACATCCAGCCTTTCTCAAGGAGCAGGCGTGACAAGATTACGCATCATTAGGTAGCTCCTAACAAAGCAGTTACAAGCCATGAGTCCATCTAACCCAACGCTGCTTCTAAGTCAGAAGACCCCAAACCTTCAGCAGTGTGGGCAAAAACATTCAAAAGTGTGCTGTTGCCTGTCCTACCTGAACATAAAGCAGAACTTGTATTTTGTGCAGATGCAGCTATTTAGGGCTCAGTCCTGCAGCAGCAGTGATGCTGGACTCAGATCCTAAAGGATGCTGATGGACTAAGCTTCCCAGAAGCTGTTCCTGCCATATACAGGCAGTGCACACAAGGCTTTCTATATTTCAAAAACAAAATGTTATTTCTGGAGCAGCTGCCTGGGAAGGGATGCTAAAAGCTTGCCTAATAGTAAAAATAAACATTAAATATTTTCTTGCTATTTTTCATCATCTGGGTATTTGTGGGTTAAGCATCACATCTTCAGTAGGGTCAGTGTTGCTGCTCAGAGACAGGAGAAATGTGATCATTGCATTTGCTGGCCAAACTTATGAATCAAGACAGAACAAATCTCATACAAAATCCCAACATCTGTTCTCCTTCATCCCCATTTATCTGTTCCCAGCATCTGTTCTCCTTCATCCCTATCTTTCTCATCAGCTGAGATGCAGCATGGCAATACTGCGGCTGTGAAACAGCAACTGCTCACGCACTGCTCAGAGAGAACTGCCAAGTTTTGTTCCTTCACTTTAAGGAAGAAGGTGCTTATCTCCATTCTGATCCAGGTGGAGCTGTGCAGCCCAGGGCCTCCATCCCACCCAGAGCATCAGGGTGAGCAGAGCTGGGCTCTGCCGTGAGCGCTGAAACCAGGCTGTGGCAGCAGACAAAACCCAGGGGTTGAATCCTGACATCTGCTCACCAGGCTTGATTGAAAGTGGAGGAATTATATTAAATTACCTGATTACGTGAAGGCTGAGAAATGATAGTAGATATTACAGCCAAGGCTGAACAAGAGCTTGGCAGTTCCTGTCTCTACAGGAGGAGTGGGAGTTTTGCCCTGGTAATAACAAGCTTTGCAAGTTCCTTCTCTTTAGAGAATTTTCTTTTTTTTTTTTTCTTTTTCTTTTTTTTTTTTTTTTTACTGAAGATGGAGAAGAAAACATACAAATTGCACATAATAAGTGGAACACAGAAAAAGAACCAGCTGTACTCGCAGATGTTACAATACATCCAAAGGTGCTTCTCTATTTTCTCTCCTCTTAGAATAGGCCATATATGTCTGATGAATAATGCAAGAGATTTCCTCTATAGAATTATTAGCAGGCAGCCCTTCCTGACCTGTCTTTAATCACACTCAGCACTCAGCAGGCCCCGGAAGGGAAGGCAACACCACTCTTACCAGGCAAACCCAGTGGGCAGCAGTCACCCCAGTCCTTCTCAGCTTTAACACTTCAATGTGAGGAAAATCCATGAGCAGCTCTATGAGCTTTGTTCCTCACCTGGGCCAAAGTTTGGGTTAAAGTCAACAGATGGTTTGCATCTCAGTTGAATGTGATCAGCATTTTAAAATGATGTTTGTAAGGAGAAGCTTTTGCTTAATTACGAAGACTTGTTCAATTGAACTCATAAAATCACAGAATCATAGAAAATTCCAAGTTGGAAGGAACCTATAAGGATCATTGAGTCCATACTCCTATTCAGGGATGATGATGCTTCAGATTCATATTTGTGTGCGTTCATGGAGATCCAGACACTCTCACTCACTTGCAGAAGGCTAACAGTGGTAGATCTGACTCTATCAGCCAACAGATACAGAGAATTTATTCTGTCAGATATCAATCACTAGCAGTGCAGATGGTGGTGCTGCAAGCACCATGAACTGTGTAAGCCTACTAATCAAGCCTGGAACCCAATCTTTCCCAGAAACTAATGCTTACAGAAGTATTTGGGAAGCTCTGCAGATGGACAGATTAAAAAAAGAATGAGAGTTTGGCTATGTTGAATCTCAAAGAGAAGAGTTTGGCTATGCTGAAAGGGATTCAGTTTTTGCAAATAAAAAAGCTGGGTGGACTCTCCTAGTCCATGCAGTGCTGCCCAGCCCAGGAGACAACATGGTGCAGCACTGCAGGAGCTTTGTGCAAAGCAAAAGGAAATTAAACGTGAGTCATACGCAAGTGTCAGAGAACATTGCAGGCCCAAATTCCCATTCATTCACAAGATCTGATTACCTTAATGTGCTTTGTCCAACCTGAACATTTTGACATGCATAAATCAAAAGGTTCTGCTATGCCTTGTTGAGCTGTTGCGGCAGCACAGCAGCTCACCTCTCCTGCACAGGCTCAGCCCAAACACCATCAGCCCACGGTCTGCTGCCATCCCTCTGCCCTCCCAGCCAGCCTCCGAGCCCTGGCCTGTGCCTCGAGGGCATCACAGCCCTCACAGCACCTGGGCAGCAGAAAGGTGGCTCACAGCATTGAACCCCAGCTCCCGAGGCACTGGGCCAGCTCTGGCCAGTACAGAGAAACCCTGAATTAATTGAAAATGACATGTTTTGATTTGGCTTAATACGCTGAGATAGTTTGATCTGGATCCGCCAGGCAGGAATGATGTGTTTCGTTCAAATCTTCTTGACAAAACAGAAACGTCTATGTGATTCCTTTAAAATCAATTTTTTCCATGAAAAAAAATGATCTTTTTACAGAATATGCATTTTCTCCATCTAGAAACACTCAGCACTAATTACCACATTGGTGAGTTTGATAACAAACTTCTTGTGAACTCTAGTCTGAACTACAGTAAAGTCATTTTCAATTCCCTTACTCACTGGAATCCAGAGCCATAAAATGGTGTAAAACACAACTAGGGAGAAGCATTGAGAGCCCCCACTCACTGCTGCCTACAAACTGGGATGGACAGGCACAAGAACAGCCTTACATGAATGATGCTCACATCTGACCCTGGTACCCCAACCACAACCACATGCAGCTCTGCTGCCAGCACCCCATGTGTTCCTCCTGTTTCCTTATTTCCCTTCCAGACATCAGCAGAAAGTTCAGAAGAAAAAGATGTGCCCAGGTTGGAGGAAGGGGGGGAGCTGATCTTATGCATGTCTTGAAAAATATAAATAAACTTTCCCACTCCCATGATGGTTCGTATATTTGTCAACTGGTCTTTATGGGAAAGTGGTAAAGAAGATTTCCGATGCCTCGTAGTGACATATATTCCCAGTGAGGAACAAAGTTTGAACCAATTTTTGAGTTTTAAAATTATTGAGAGGAGTGATTACCATGGCCAAGAATAACTGTGTATGGAAGGAAATTGATTTCTGGCCTGCTAATAATTCATTTTACATTCTTCATAATCATATTCCAAAAAGCATATATTCTACAGCAATAAACAGTTCCAAGGACTCTCCTCATTTACTCTCCCCACTGCATTCTTCGGACTTGCTTAATTCCATAGCCCAAGGCTGCAGTGGGATTTGGGTGGATAACATATTGTGCCTATTAGAGACACGAAGCCATCCAAACACTGCCAGCATGGAGCATCCTACTACAACAGCTCCCAGCTCACCATATAGGACAATCTCTCCTGCTCCTTAACAAGCATTTTAATTTGGTCTGTCTGCGTAGCATTCAGGTGTTTCTACATCCAGCCCTTCCATGCCAGCTTCTGCTTTCTGTTCTACTCCCATCCTTATCCCTCTGGGCGGAAAATCTCAGGATTGAAATCCTTTATGAACTCCAAGAGTTGTAAATTCATGTTCAATTTACTGTTAAATAGATGCCTGATATGAAAATGAAATGGTATTTAAAGATGTTACTCAATTCTGAACTTTTAAAGCAGCCCTGGGAAGAAATGTGGGATGAACGCAAAACTTTCTGACTTCCCAGTGAGGTCACCAACATTAGTGTTCCATCTTTGCTTTGTTGTTTTCAGGTTTTCATTGAAACTATCTAACATTTCATCTAGCAGATAAAAAATAATAATAATAATAAAGCACTTTATTTACAAAACTTACTTGCCAGATACCTCTGAGCCATGATTTTGAAACGTCTCCATTGGTCACGACTAGAAGAGGCAAAGGATGCAGCAAATTAGGGTTTTCTTCCTCCATATTGATTCATCTGCAAAGCATGCAGCCACCTGCATTATCAGAAGCAAGAAGGCAATCATCAGCAGGGTGAACAGACAGCTGACTTCAGGGATGAGCTCAGATTTTTCTGAAAGGAGGGTGGATAGCAATAGGGAATAGGAAAAAACTCCCTTGGGTCATCTTTACCAGCATGCTGTGTCCCGAACATTGCCTCTACTCAGAGCCCATGTCAGACAGCCCTCATTGGGCAGAAGGACCCAAGGACCTCAGACATAACCCACTCTTACCTGGGCTTTCGAGGATTTGAAGCCAGATTGAGCACAGGGTGGGAGCCTGCATTCCCACATACCTGAGGGCTGAAGCTGCTGGAGATGACACGGCCCCAAGATCTTAAATCCCGTTACCTTTCACCACAGCAAATGGGACCTGCAGTACAGCCTGCTCAGGAGGGCATGATGGATATGCAGGTTTGAGGCTGGGGATGCTGCAGGCTGCTGCTCCTAGGGCAGCTGAGCCACAGAAAGTGTTAACACAGCTCCCACACTTCGCTTTATGCTGTGAAATGAATGTTATTCTCAGGGGCTGCAATAAGGTTGTAACAAGCTTAAATACTTCATTAATGAGGGCTCTGTAAGTACCACAGAGACAAACAAGATTTGAGAGGGGCAGAAGCCTTTGTGCTTTCCTCTTCTCCACTGGGGAGAATTCAACTCGCTGTCCAATTTGCAATTGCTAACAGAAAATTTTGCACGTGGAAATGGATTTGCTTGCACAGTTTGTGCCTCCATCTAATTGTTTTTAAACTTTGCATCCTGGGAAGAATTAGCAATCATGTTTTAGCAGATCTCTGTTCTTAATGTCTCTGAGTTTTTGGGAGATTTTCTTCATGCAATATCCCATATGTTCTGATTGTTTTCAGGGGAACACAGTCAAGTCACCTCTAACAAATACCTGTTAAATCACAGAGCACATCAATCCATTGGCCAAAGCAGTTGCAGTCTGTTATAGAAGTTATGACATACCTTTTGCTAATGGAGAGAATGATGCCAGGAATAAACACAAGTCTTGCTAATGTGGTTGTTTTATTCTTCTAAACTATACATGCAAACATGTTATTTTCTTACGGTTTTTTTGTTTGTTTGCTTGCTTGTTTTTTTAATTTTAAAGTAAGAAGGAATGAGTAAGCAAGAACAGAAGGATGTCTGAATATATCTGCCAAGGCTCAATGGCTCCATGGAGCCACTCCTTCACAGTTTGCTAGCACGGGTTCAGTGCTGCTGGGGAAATGGAGGTGCATGAGCAAATTCTACCACCTTCCTCATTCCTCTCCTGCTATAACCTTACACCACTTCCAGGCCTGACTGCTAGCAATAGCTGACCACAGCCAGATGTCACACTGCTATCCAAGATGTGTCCTTACCACCCACTTTGACACACCGACCTCACTGAATTCTGCTTTGATGTCCCTTTGGGACCTTAAGACTGAGATAAAGGGGACAGATCTTTGAAACATTTGGTCTATTATGGCAGTAGAAAAATCCTGAACTATTTAAACTGTTGTGCTTAAAAATAATGTTGGCTCTGTTTTGAAGTCCTCTTAAATCCTCCTACTTGGGAGAGGATAAAAATATCCCACTGCACCTGGTTACCTCAGCCATTTCCAACAGCCACTGCCTCCTGAGAAGAGCTCCTTCAAGATGCTGCCTCCTTAACTGCTTTGTCCTGACGTTGCACAGGTCGGAGGTTTGGGGATTTAGGCAATGTGCACCAAAACAAAGAAAAGGCCTTTGAGCCGGAGGCACTTGTGTACAGTGGAAGTGCAGCTTGCCCCTACAACATTCATCCCTTTGGTTATGCTTCCACAACAGCCTCCTAACTCATTTCCTTCAAGGGAATATGTTTTCCTTTCCACAGCTCTATTGTAGGCTTGTAATCAAAAGTGGGCTCCTTAAAACTGGACTGACCCTAGCATCTGTTAGCCCTTCTAATATCAGCGAAAACAGGGCATGAAGTGCTTTAAATCAGAGCTTCATTCCTCAGAATAAGGAGGATCGTCCCTCTCTGGTCAAAAGTCACAGATGGCAGATGTTCAGTTTTATCCCCTTTGGCCACTGGCAATGGCAGATTCAGAGCTACGACGAAGCGCTAAGGCTCCGCACCAGCTCTTAGCTCTGGGAAATAGCGGCTGTCTGCTCTCATTCATTCTCTTGAAGCAATCTTTAATCTTCCCAAAGACCCCTTCAGGCTCTCTGTTCCAAGGCTGCAGCTAGAAGAATGGCTTTACACAAAACCCAGAGCACAGTGCAACCTCAAGGCACTGAGTGAAAAAGTGAACACAACAAATGTAATAATAGTCAGAAAATAAAAAAAGCAATCTACCACAAAATCGAAGTGGTTACCAAAATCCCCACCCACTGAGCCATTTGTTCTACTCATTCCTCTGAACACCGAAGCCAAAGTCCTGTTCTTCCTCCCTTCATCAGTCTTCCTTTCCTCAATGAACTCTTACTGCAACAGAAGCATCAGCCTTGGACTCATTGAGCTGCTGGGTCTGCAGCAAGTCATGCACTGCATGGCAGCTGGCACTTCCCATCCATTTCACCTACCCCCATCCTGCTGATAGCCAATCTGTGATGGAGTTTATGACCACGGTGCTCCAACCATCTTTGTCTGAAGCTTAGAATGCCATGAATCAAGGCTTTCTGCCTACAACAAAAAGGAGAGGTCCTGTGAGGTCCAGGAGCATGAATTACAGAAGGCTCTTGTGCACACCTTGTACACTTTCCACATGCTTGCCTGAGTAAGATCCTGCCATGAATATTGCTACTGACTTCAGATTTAAAAGCTAACTTGCTTTTCTTCCTTTTCTGACAAGTGTAATCAAGGGCTAAAGGAAAGCAGAAAACAAAAGCTTGGAGAAATTTGCAAGCTAGCAGAGCCACAGGTGAAGGACCAAAACAGACCTGAACTGCTAACCAGACTCCTGGAGTCATCTGAGGAGAGACAGAATCAGTAGAGATGACATTACTCACAGATCCCTCCTGATGCCTTACATAATTCATAGCAAACACTGGGACATGAAGACCAGAAATCCCATGAGGAGGCATGTGGCATTGTTTTTTCTCATTAGGGTGAGTCACACAACACACATTATTACATAAAGCGGGATGTCTCATTAATTACATCTGTCTGGGGGCTATAGTGTACAGTGTCTGGAAGAGCTCCAGGAGACTAAGTCCTTGTCCTCATCATTCCAGAAAGTCCTGCAGTGCCTCTTTGCAGGAAGCCACCATCACTTCCACCCAGCTGCCAGCTGGGCTCTGGCTCCCAGCACCTTCACTATGGTTCTGCCTGTGGGTGCCAGTGTGCATTCCCCAGCAAGGTCCCTTTTCTGCCAAACTGCCCCCCAAGGACATGGATCTCCTCATGCTCACCCACAGCAAGGCACAGAGAGGGAAAACCCACCCTGAGCCAAACTCATGTCGCTGCCATCCACACTGAGAAAACAACAGGCTGAAGGAGGAGCTGTAATAAAATGGTGTTTGGAATAGGAGGCAGTGCTGCACTGTGGCTTCCAGGAAGAGGGGAAGCGGAGCATTGCAACAGCAACTGCCAGCGTTTGCCCATGCAGACAGGTGGTGGCTGTGCCTGCCAGCTGCATCAGGGACCTCAGGATCCACTCCTCCTAACACATCCGTGAGCAACCAGGAGGGCCAGCCCTGTTGGCACAGACAGCAGTGCAAAGGGGTGCAGTGCCATCCACTTCACTTCTGTCACCTGCAGGCCCCCAGATGAGTCTGAATATTCAGTAAGTAAGAGAATGTTGTCTCACAGCTCCCAGCTACCTCTTCAACAAGGAAAGCTGTTATAGGAGGCATACGCCTCTTTGCCTCTCCACAAACTCAGACTTTGAAAACCTAGGTCAGCCTATGGGAGCCTCCTGTGGTTCAGTTATACAGGGTGGACTAAAAGCCCCCAGATCCCTTGCAGCCCCCTTTGTGCCCTCCTACAGCACTGCAGGTGGGGCTGTGCCTGGTGGAGGATACTTGTACCCTGCAGTGATGTGACACAGAGATCAGAGACAGGAAGGGGAATTTGATTTTGCTGTTTGGCACAAAAGAGGATCACAGAAATATGTCAGTGGATCACTGAGATTCACACTAACGTGACCTGAGAAGTGTTCAGCCCTGTGCTTGATTGCATCCAGATCACCAAAACACTGCTGCCAGCAGACAGTGCTCGTTGCCTCCACAGAAAACACAGGAGTTACTGGCGGGGAGAAGGGAAAGGTCAGGGAACGTCCTCACACGTTCTGCTCTCTAACAGTTAGTTCTTGTGACTGTATCAATATGCAGTAGCAATGACAAGGACAGATGATCTGGAACTCCCCTGCATTATTCATACACAGAGAAAGAGGAGGCAGCTATTGTGAGAAGTATCTGCTGGCTTGTTGAATATACAAGGCTCTAAACCTCAACGCACTGCTGCAGATGATGCTGTATTGAAATGCTAACCTATTGAGAAGTCCCACAATGAATAGAACAGGGTATGTTTCCAAAGTTCAAACATTCCAACATACTCCAGGATTGGAAATAGGATATTAAGAACAGGTTGGGGAAAAAAAAGAAAAAAAAAAAGGTGGATTTGGGGAGAGGAAGAGGTGGATTTGGGAGCTCTACCAGCGCCCAGTTCTCCCAGTTAGGGCTTCAGCCCCCATGAGACACCCTTACCATCACATAAGCAAAAGCACTGCTGCACATCTCACAAGTGGGAAGTGCTTCCTTACTCTCCTTTGAGCTCACAAGACACCACCCACTGGCGCCTGCCTTGCCCAAGATGAGCAGCTCACCCCAGCACTCCAAATGCCAGATTCTCATCCTGTCATTGCATGAAACAAGGTCTATACATAGCTCCAGTTTGCCTTCTGGAAGGGGCTTTCATCCTCCATCTCACGCTCAGTCTCATGACTAGGAAAACAAACAGTGAGATTCCTCTACAGCAACACAGCAGCAGAAGAAAGAACAGAGAGATCTTCCTCCTCCATGTACCCCCACATAACCACACTGCACTGGATCATGGCACAGCCCAATGAAAGTACGAGTAATGCAGAGGCAGTGCCCCAAGTTCTGCAGTAACCAAATCTCAGGGAGACTTTATCCTAAACTCTTCAGCATCCAGTGACTAAGAAACACATGTAAAAGCATTCCCTAATGCTCACAGATACAAGGAGGCCAGGAGACGAGTTTTCTCCTTTTGCTATGTTAGGCTTTAATAGAATTATATGGTCTTTAGTTTACCTTGCCATGCAGGCACATTAAGCATGGATTTCTCTAAAGCTGGAACATCACAAGATACCCAAACAACCTTGTCATTGCAATTTTGCACATTTTTCCTCTTTTGTGTATCTGTGAGCTCTGACTGCGGTAAAATTTCATCTCAGCCCACTGCCATCTGGAGCAAGGTTTGGTCTCAGACACGAGCGTAATGGGAAAGGATATTTCTGGGGAGTGGTGGGAAGGTTAATCTTGTGAATGCTTAAAGATGTTGATCTCTTTCAGTATCTCACTGTGACGCGTATGATCTGGACCCATCAAGACCGAGTATGTGGAAAGACAGAAAGAGCTTTGAGATCTGATTGGTACTGGGGTCTACAAATCCTTAGTCATCACAGCAGGAAGATTCGCCCCAGCTGATTTTCAGTTTGGAGTTACCCTGATTTATCCAGGAGACCTACAGTGATCTGCACCACCTGCAGAGCATCAGAAGAAGACTCTCAGCCACTGCAGGGACTCTGCAGCTCCCAGCTCTGGGTCTGCTCACCCTCAAGGGACAAAGTCAGATGGTGCTCAGATGGGTTCACTCCAGATTACCTGTTAGGCTTCACAGGGAGCATCAAAACCTTGATTATCAGGATTCAAAAGGAACATCAGAGGATGCCTTGCAACCTCCTGCCACCAAGAGAACAGGTAGCACCCATCCCTTTGCATTGCTTAGACATCACACCATCTTTCCACATTGCCTGTTGGATACAGGCTGGGACACTCTCTGCTGGCATCACCAGTGCATGACACTTCCCTGAATGGCTCCAGCCCTCTGATAACATCCTTCACCCATTTTAGTGCTCGTGCTCTTGCTGCCTTGCAAGGTTTCCCCCCAAGCACTCCACAAGGCAGAGACCAGAGAGAAGAGGAAGAGTGATGCTCAGAGATTTCTCAGACCCGTGTCAGGCAGCCTGTTTACTTCTGCTGGGCTTAGCTGGAGATGTTTGGATGCTTTTATACGACTTGACATCCACCCCTCAAATAACAGACCCTGCATCCCCAAAAAGGCCAGACAGACATATTATCTTCTGATTCTATTTCCAGCTTGTCCGGCAGACACCACTGGGGAAGAAGAGCAGCTGCAGCTGGGGCAGGTTTACAAGCTGTTACTGGGCTGCCCGTTCCAGGCGATGGCTGTCAGGTCTGCGTGAGCTGGGCTCCTGTAATCAGCCAAAGCTGTTGTTTGTTAGCCCCTCGCGGTCTCTTGACTTTTCATCTTGATTAAAGAGCACGCCAAACGGCAGGATTAGCAAGGCAGGCATCCCAATCCTTTTGCTGCTCCTGAAATCTAGTTGCCTGCCTACCGCACACGTGCTCATCCTCAGGGCTAACAATTAGTGGCACCAGCTGCTAGCCTGGATGCCAGGGCCAGGAGCTATTAGTGCACAGACCATTAGCTTTAAAAGGCATTTGGAACTTCTGAACGTATTAGGGTTCTTATGACTGACGGACAGAACAGCCATATGTGGCTCACTGTTTTTTCTGTCAATATATTTCTCCAAATCAGTGTTGGGTTATCGGAACGATTTAGGTGGAGTACATGGGAAGGCATCTTACCAAGAGGACTGAGTACTGCATGCAGTTGAGTAATTGTTACCTGCTTTAACTAACATCATTGGCACCTTCTTCCAAGTCAGGAATGGCAATGGGTTGCTTGAATAGCTGGATATTGAGACTCTATTTTTAGTCCTGCCATTTGCCCACCTAATGATTCCAGGGAAGTCATTTCAATTCTTTATGCTTCAGCAACCCCATCTGTAAGATGGCAATGATGAGCCCATACCACAGGACTTGGAGATCTGTGCCTGTAAAACAATATAATAAAACTTCAGATTACCGTTACTGTTTAAAGCCGAGGTGGGGAGGAAGCCCCATGGGTCTTTGCATAGTTTGCAGCAGCACCTTCATGGATTTTTTTCAAGTCTCGCATTCCCACTTGCACATCACTTGAAGCCAGTGACAAGAGAGAGAGACAGAGCTCCAGGCTGGTTGCTCTGCACCTTGTGGCAGAGGCTGCAGACACGAGGAGACCACTCAGTCCCCTGGCCATTACCCTCGACCCACAGGGATGAGCCAGGTTGCAGAGCAGAGCGTTGACTCTAAGCCAAGTTAAAAGCCAGACTGCCTTACCAGCCTCAGCCCACTGCAATCCAACCACAGAGAGATTTTCCCATTATTTTCCCAGCTTTTTGTTTAAAGTAGAGCTGTCACGGAATTTGGAGTTCAAACACAAGATCTCTTCAAAAGCCTTTAAAAGAGATTTTATAATGTGATGTTCTGATGAAATTTCCAGGCCTTTTTGTTTGGTACAGCTGGCAAACACCAGCAAAATTCTTATCATTTTTTTAAATGTTTGAATATAATATTATAATCCCATAGCTGGATTCTTGAAATGCAGACATTACGTCAGTAACATACAAACTGGTCTTTTTATCCTGGGTCTGCCAGATTTTCAGGCTCAGGACAGTTCTTCTGCCATTTGAAAGGGCTCTCCCCTTAGTTAGACACACGTCCCTCTACTCACCCAGATGGTTTCCTCCTCCAAGCTAGAATAATGTATTTAAATTTATCCAATGGCTTCCATGACTCAGATTTCCCATAGCTGGAAGGTTTCTAGCCGTCCTCTGCTCCACCTGCTCAGATGTTGAAGCAGCCCTCTCGCTGGCTCACAACCTGCAATTCTGCACTTCATCAGTGAAGCGTGACTGCTGTCGGGGCAGGGGGAGGCTTTTAGCTATTTTAGTCTTTCATGAAGCAGTTCTAGAGCAGCTTCACGTTCACATAACCCAAGGTCTGAAGGTTAGTCCCTGGCAGTCCTGGAGAGAAACCATAGCTTTTAGAGGTTTGTTTCTTCTGGAGAGGAAGGGTATGTCCTGAAAGCCATCATTCAGTGATAGGGTAAGAGGTAATGGCTTTAAGTTTTGCCAGAGGAGGTTCAGATAACATATTAAGGAAAAGTTCTTCTCAGAAGAAGTGATGCTGCACTGGCACATGCTGCCCAGGGAGGTGGTAGAGTCACCATCCCTGGAGATATTCAAGAAACATGGAGATGTGGCACTGAGGGACATGATTAGTGGGCACAGTGGGATGAGATGAATTTGGGGATCTTAGAGGTCTTTTCCAACCTTAATGATTCCATGATTCCAGCCTTCTCATCTGACCAATGGATAACCAAACTTTCACTCCATCCCAAGCCTCCATTCCCCAAATATTTCTCACTTCCTATCCACACCTAAACCACACTTCCTATCCAACAGCAAACTCATTCAGCAACTACAACACACAACAACTTTGCTGTCTACATAAACAGATAATTGTCTGGTTTGGACAACAGAACAGAAATGCAAATCCTTACATACTGATGTTTTATCATTTGCCTCAATTTCCTTGAGATAACAGGCAATGATTTCAAGTAGCACGTCAGTGATCAAGACACCCTTCTTTACTGGTGTTCACTGGGACCTGAGATCCTATGCTACACAGACCATTTTGAAAATGCCACCTGGGACATTCCAACTCACAGGAGTCCTTCTGTAGACAGCACATCTTTAGATAAAAGCATCCCAAATGATACTGACATTCTAAAAATCCTTTGAAATTGCTGGCAGGCCTGAGTAGTGGCTCATCATAGCCTGGAGCAGCTGAAAGCTGGAGAAGCAGCTGAGGAAGGATGTAGTGATTCCATCAGGCTCAGAGAGGAGAGAAGCTAGAAAGGAACAAAGGCAAGAGGGTGCACAGGCTTCAAAGCTGTTGGGTTAAGCTGACTGGTTTTATAACACATATGTTGAAGTTTAAGAAGGGAGAAGAGTACTGAGCTACAGGGTTCCTGCCATCATATTCCATGGGCTATTCCCAACCATCACAGAAGTCCCAGGACATTTGAAATCCCTGTTCTGGTTCTACCCAGACTCCACAGGGCACCGAATGCACAAAATTCAAGCAAGAACCTGCTTGAGAGAAATAAAAACAGCGACCAGCAAAGTCTTTGCCTCAGTGACCCAACACTCACAGTATGGCACAGATCACTGCAACCAAGGCAGGCTGTATCAGCCACCTTCTGAAACATCAACAAGCTATGTGGTGTCTCGGAGCAGGAGCACAAATGAAAGATAAAAGCACGTTGGAAAACTAAGCTTCTTGTCATAAAAGACAACATAGGGAAGGAAGATTGGCAAGGGCAAACAGTCAAGCAGTTAATTACAGAGTAAATTAACTCTCCAACCATGTACATAATCAGACAGGAAACATTATAAGCTTAAGCCAGCAGTTTCAGTAACAAGATTTTGACAAAGTTCCCATTTATCATCCCTGGGCTTAGGCAGTGAAGTTCTGCTTGAATGTCTCAAAATGGAACTGTAGTCCCCTACAATATTGTCACCAAATCCCTTGCACTTAACTGGGTTTTGGGGAACAGACATTGAGCCAAATGCAGGAGGGCAATAACAAAATAACACCTTCAAAATCACTGCTAATTGTCAGAAGCATTTCACAGCATGGCCCTGGGTCCTTTCTTCATCACGGAGCAGTGGGGTGTTCTGGCCTTGGATCAGGACTCTAAAGGGAAGATGACCCTAGTGCATAAGACCCTGATGTCATTTGTCATGAAACCTTGAGACAAACAAGGACTTAACTTTTCCATGGTAAACTGTTTCACAATTTGAGATATCCAGGGCCAGATCTGTAGATGCAAATGTAGCAAAAGCCGTGAAAATCAGCTAGAGAGATGAGTGCTGTAAACAAATAAATAATCAGCCTCATCAATTTTCAAGTTCAGAAAAAGAAATCTCAGTGGAAATTTTTCACAGCTCTTCTGTGCCTCAGTTCTCCGACTGGAAAACAAGAGGATGTATGATGCTTCTGGGGCATTCTTAAATAAAATAAAATCACAACCACAAAGCTCAGGCACCACAGAGGAGCACAGTTAGGGAGCAGTTAGGAATCTGAATCCCACACAGTGTCTATGAAGGACCCAGAAGAAATTTGGCCCACAAGCAAAACACCAGAAAAGCTTGCTTGCTGCCACCAGGCACACACGTAAGCGGCTGGGCCAAATTATACTTACACCCTGTCTGTTAGACAGGCATGGAATGAAGTGGGGAAAATAAAACATTGGTCAGGAGCTTACCCCAAAGCACGTGATCCCTCCTGGTGTGAGGAGCTGACGCTGATGTGGGGTTAGCATTATTCCTCCCTGGGGCTGGAGCTTCCATCTTCACCTGCAGCATGCTGGGTGCCAGCCGACAACAAGCTGCCTGATGGAGAAAGGACAGTCAGCACGTGGCACCAGGCTTAGCACCATAGCAAGGGTGCACCCAGGAAAGCCCCAGAGGATGGGAAACATGTCTGCAGCCCTCTGGTGCACTGTGAATATGGGTTGTTTTTCCACAGCAGCAGCAGCAGCAAAAGAACCAAATAAAATCATTTTTTATTAGTTGAGAGGAGCCCTCAGCAGCCCGAGGACAAGTGTGCGGTTTTTGTCAGCCTGCCCGAGGAACATTTAAGGCTTTCAATATCAATGTGTCATTTCTGAAAACAGCCCATCAACAGGGGTGAGTTGTCCAAACAAGCCTTCATGGCTGTTATCAGTGTCTCAGTGCATTTCTCCATTCCCAAAGCAGCTCCCTAGGCTGCTGGCTCCGGCTGCAGGCTGCTGGCTGCAAGTGCTGGGACCACCTCAGCAATGGCAATCCCATGGTTGCTGCTAATGGAATGAGTCTGCACACACTGCCCCAAGAGCTGCCTGCCCATGTAATCCTTCCTCTCAGACATCAAAGCACAGCAGGCTGGGGATACCAGAAGACAAAGCCCTGTGGCCCAAAAAGCTATAGTAGGTCAATGCCAAGAGATTGCTCTTAGGAATATGAAGCAGCAGCTCTGGAGCTTGGAACTCTATGGTTTGGCACTACCAGCTGTTCCTTTTTTTGGTTGTTGTTGAAGCTTTTTATGTCTTATAAAGGAATTTTACCTGGATTCACTCTTAAGCTGTGGTCATGTACCTCCCTCAGAAATTGTAATTGGACTTTAACCAATTTGCCAAGGCCAAAATAGCTTCCTGTATCTTGAACGCAGGCATTTCACCAAGTAATCCAAAGACTGCTCTATTTCTCTGTTGAGAGAAAAGGTTTTATAACACTATGGATTTTTCTGGCTTTTAATAACAGCTTAAGATCAGATTTGGCTGAGTCTCACACACTTGTACTTGGTGTTTTTCAAGAATCAGCAGGGATCAGAGCACAAGGGCTGAGGATGCGGCTGCAGGACATGCAAGGTTCAGGGCAGGATGGCCAGGGTGCCTTGTGCTCCCATCTAGCACAGCTAGAGGCTGTCCTGTCGATCAAGCCACCACACAAGAGAACACAGTCCTGGTATCAGCTGCACCAAGAGTACCAGCCTCATCAAAAGCTTCACTTCCTCCAGCCCTACCTGAACGTGTCCTGGAATTATTCACGAACCAGCTGACAGCTTTGTCTCAAAGATCAGGGACAGCATACTGGAACTTTGCAACTTCTCTGTAATGAATTTGGCAAAGAAGGTAATGGCATGCTTGTCCTGCAGGTTCCATTTGTCTGCACCTGTCCTCAGCAGGCTGATCCAGCTCTGTTCTCCGAAGTGGCCGCATGCCAGCACCATCCATCTCTTGCTGTCTTCTGGGATGCACAGGCCAGGTTCCTAATAGATGTGGCCTGAACAGATCCCATAGGCACCTGGCAGAGAGAGGGATGCTGATGAAGGATGAGTGAACACTGCCTGTAAATGCCGATCTTTCTCAAGTCAAGGGATGGAGGGGCATGAGATCACCACGGCAGGCACGGCCACAGAGAGAGGAAAGAGAGATGTTGATGTGCCGTGTACTCAATCCCAAAATATTCTTCATCTCTTAAAATAAGAGCTGGGAAGGGAGTCCATGCTGCCCAATGGGCAAAGCTTGGCAGGGTTCAGACTTGTACATAGGCAGGATGCAGGAAGGCACAAGTGACAGAATGACGGAGGTGGCCAGAACAATTCTTCATTAAAACCCAGTGAATTAATGAGTTATCGGGGCCTTTCATATCGATCAGCCCAGAAATGCTATTTGGGTATGCTTTCAAAATGCTTGCATTTAAATTTCTTTTTCACATCTGGGATTTGTGATCAGAGATCTGTTCTCATCATTAGATTCTACAGCTTCAAAATGTTTTTGTTTGTTTTTTAGTCTGTTCCTCTTTGCTTCTATTCTTACCAGCAAAACAGAAAGCACAACAAAAAAAAAGAAACAAAGCTTTTCTGAAAATTGAGATTTCAGGACCTTTTTGCAAGGAGGGCAGAAAAATGAACAAGAAATCAATTTTAAAAGGAAAAATATAAATAAAACCAATAAAACAGAAGATGAAAGAAAAAGAAAAAATCCAAATGGCTGGAATTAGCCTGATTTCACCTGAACCTTCCCCAAATGGAGAATCTCCCTCAGAAGTCAAGCATGGAGCCTTTTTTCACATTTTCCACAGTAACCTTTAGAGTTCAAAACGCTCATCTGCTCACTCCCTCCCATCCCCTCACAGCAGCGTTTGCAAATGACACAAACATTTGACTATGATCTGTGCTCTCCCTAACACAGCCCAGCCCGTGCCTGCTAACAATTTTCTCTGGAGCAAGTTCAAGCACAATTTGCTCATGCTGCTATCTATCTGTCATCGGATGTGTCAGCCGAATCTCTTTCAGCTCGGGTGGGGAGGAAAGAGACAAAAGGTCACCTTCTACATACAGTGCGTTCTCCAGGAGGCACGGAAGAAAAAGAGAAGAACCGAGTTTTCATCTACCTGACAGGAATCAAATGCTTTTTCCCTTCTCCCCTTGCATTTCATTCCACGCTTGCAGCACGTCTCAGTGTCTCTGATAGCAGATGAAGATGTTCAGGAGGAATGAAAATCCCTCCTGAGCCACTGGAGAGCCAGGAGGGTTAAAGCAGCCCGAAAGGTTGCAGTGTGTTCCATCAGCCTTTGGACCCTGACAGTATCTCAGCTCCCAAAGCCACGATTAGCACCGCAGTTGTATTTGGTTGATACAGCCACAGTGCTCTCAGGAGCTGTGGGTTCATGGCACTGCCCCAGCTGAAGTCACACCGTGCTGCTTGGACCTCATCCTCCCGTGGGAGATGCAAGCAAGATGACTTCAAGTGCAGTTCTGCACTGACAAGGGGTTAACGTGGAACAACACCTTTCTTTCTACTCCTTACAGGCGCTCCTGACTGTGTCCCATCATTCTGCTGCCTGCAAGCAAGAACACATGGATCTGTGAGCCTGTCCCATCATGCTGCAATCTGGCACTGCTTCCACCAAGTGTGCCAAGAGGGGAGAGGGGGATTTCATGGCCAGACACTCCACTCAGGTATGGGCAGCAACCTGCAGTATTTCAACAGTGAGGAACATATGCTCTCAAAAAGGACAGTTTGGGTCGTAAGGACGAGAGATGCCAAGGCATCACCTCTGTTGAAAAAAAATATCCTATCCTTACTGTAGTTAGGAACTGAAGGATTTTTGCCACCTTAAACCCTTGATTATTATTTTTTTTTATTAGCATTTCTGTGTCTGACACGATCAAAAGGGATTCTGGGGAAAAAATATAAATGGTACGTTTACTTTTTTGTGAAAGAAGCTGTATGATTTCCAGCAGTAAGTCAGCAAGAGCAGGAGATGTACAGGAAGGTAAGGAATAGAAGAGCTTGGAGATTTATTTCCCATTAGAGAGTGGCAGATGGAGAGGAAGGGGGCACAGCAAATAATCTGAGATGGAGCCAAACTGAGGAAAGGCAAAAATCAAATCAAGACTGGATGAAAGTTTTCCAGTGAAATATTCCCCCCCACAACCACCACTAAAAAAAGAGTTTTCTACAAAACAGCATGCTCAGGGACAGCCCCACTTTGCACAGAGTTATTATTTTTCAGTTAGCATTGAGTAACCAACCCAAAAAGGATTAGCACCACCAGAAAAAGAAGTCAGGTTGCAGCAGACTTATTTTCATAGAAGACGTGGGTGAAAGCAAAGCCTCATGTGCAATTCTTTCATCAATAAAATCTAATTTTCCAACCATTTTTAAGGCTGAAGTGGAAAAGAGATTTAAGGAAAAAACATTCTGAGGAAAATCAAGCTGGATGCTATTGACAGCAAAGCTGCAGAAACTTTCCCCAATCTGCTGCTGTTGCTACCTGCCCATCTCCCAGAGTCCCACTTGAAGGACAACCCTGTCCTAAGAGACAGCCTGCTGTGTCTAGCAGGGACAGACTTCTCTGTCAAAAATGCTTCTTTTTTTTTTCTTTCCCCAGTCATATCTCTTCAATTAATAAAAGGTTTTGCCTCTCCCTACAAGCCTTGCCTTGCTCTGACATCCCTCACTAGCTACTGACATCCAAAATAGCCTTGCCAATTTTGGAGTACAGCAGAGGTCTGAAGCACAAAAGTGATGCACCCAGGCTTGCAGAGGAACATCTCTCAGAGGGACTGTGCACAAAACTGATTTTCATTAGCAGGAAAAGAGGCTGACAGCCCGGACCCCTCGCTCAGCCCCACTCCAACCCCACATTTATTCTGCTGTGCCTCAAACCGTGCTGCCCAAGCATCTTGTCCTCCCTTATCACATCCCTGATACTCCTTGTTGCCCTATTAGATCTTTTTGGAGTCACTAAAATAGGAAATGTAAGGGCAAACACCCACACAAGTGAAATCTAGTAAGACTAATTGGGGGGGAAAAAGCACTTCTTCACAAGGTGTTTGTTACCAGCACAGCAGCAGAGGGTGCAAGATGGACATTGTGCAGCACATCAACGTGCAAAGATCTGGGCTCAGATTTCTAGCAGCAGCAAGAGCTGTGATGGAACTGCCTTGTAAGAACCACCTTAAGGTAATGAAGCAGTGGTAACGCCAAGCTGCCATTTGCCATGCAGCCAAACTAAGCGCCTTTCAGTCCTTCATAAATGCATCTCCTCAGCACAAACTTCTCACACTAAAAGAGAGGAAATCATCCTTGCACTTTAGCAAGAGGAATGACTCAGTCAGCCCCAGGCAACAAAGATCTGAGCCAATAAAGAACAACAGTGTCTGACTGCCTTTGGAAAAGCATTTGCTGATATTTTTTCACGTGTACCATTGCTTTAAGCTCCAAAAGACACATAGGTTTATGGCAGCTCACTAGGAGGATGTTACTGTGATATTTCTTTCCAGCACATCTTCCTTGCATATTTTAGAGATGTGGGGCCAGCTGGGAGACAGGCTGTCCATGGGAGCCTCCACTGCAGTTCTCTAAGCAAAAAAGGAACCAAAAAAATTGAAACATCATAGGGTGAAATCTGGGCCTAAGTCCATAGAAAAAAAATCCTGCTGGTTTCCATAGGCTCACACAGATTCTCTTATCACTACTCAAACATCCAGACAGGCTCAGAAAACCTTATCAGGATGGATTATGCTCATGCTGTCCATCATTCTGCCTACAGTTCCATCACCACAGTAAGAGGTCAGGTAAGGGCACAGGTCCTGCCAGCAGCTCTGCTCTGACAGGGAAGAGGTTGTGGCCTTCTGACCTTCTCTACTGACTACAAGATCAGGTGAAGGGCTTTCTCGCCTCATCTCCTGCTTACGTGGGATTTCTGACATTTCTTTCAGGATGAAGAGAGCACTGTAAAAAAGCCCTGTCTCACCAACATCACATTTTTTAATAAATGCATCCAAACTGATGAGGTGGGACGGGTAGAATGATTCTCTCTACCCCACACACAAGAGCTCATCTTCCCTGCTCTCCACATCTGCATGAGCTGCTGTGGTGTCCGGGGTGCAGGTCTCATCTGTGGGGGGCCCCTGTCCATCAGCCCCTGTGGGGGGCCACACTGTCCATCAGTGTGGAGCCCCTCACCCATCAGCCCCACACTGGAGTGAGACAGCCCAACCTGCTGCTTCTCCCAGCCCAGTGCATCACTCACACAAGAGCAGCACCAACCAGAGGGTGCCTCAGCCCTCCCTAAGCACCTTGCCCTGCCCTGTTCTCTTCTTCCAAGGATTGCGTGGAGGGGGCAAAGAGAGGACCCAGCAAAGCTGTGAGTCATGCCTGGATGATACCAAGAGCAGACAAACCACCTCCCAGGGAAACAGTCTCCTGCTCCCCTGACCTGACCCGTGACAGTTGCACAAGCTGGTAAAAACAAGTACTTTGTTCATCAGATAACTGTGTGACATCCACAAGGCCAGCAGTGCAAGTGCAGTTTGCCAAGGCCTTGGATGCATCAGAGACCTACGGCAGTGCACTAAAGGGACTGAACCAAGCACAGTCCAAAGGAAAATTTACTGTGTCTCATGTCCTAACCTTTGTCGGTGTTAAATGCTGAAGTCATTGGTTGATTTTCATCATCATGACCAGGCAAAACTTACCTCGATTTTCCCTCTGCAGTCATCTACTACTTTAGACACAAAACCATGTAGCACTTACCATGATGGTTGTCCAATTAGATTCCACAGGTATGGAATAACCCTCTGATTCTATACACACTTCAGTGGAAGCCATTCTGTGTGTCAGCCCAGAAAGCAGGTTCTGAAGGTAGCAAATAAGTACAAACAGATCATGGAAAACACAGTACATGTGAGATATTTGCAACTCAAAGCAAGAAGACTCTATGAAGCCAAGGAAATATCTATTTAAATGAAGAATACTTCAATTTTTTTCTCCTCCGCAAATGTATGTTTTAATTATGTATTTTTAGAGCTTTATGCTTCCAACCTCACCAGCTATTTTGTACGTTCCAGTATCTTCACATGCTGTTAAAGTTACATTTGTTCTCTCACTGACAATTAATACCTTATTCCATTAATATTCTTACATTCACTAAATAGGCATAAAATCTCCCATCTTCACAAAAAATGTTCTTTTAATGATCTCTGAAGTTCTGCTGCAGGCAATGTTTTGCAGGTGTACAAGGGAGTTGGGAAACAACTACAGAGAGCTGGGACTGCCAATGCTCTTTCTCTGCAAGAAAGGAGGATTCCAGCACTCCATCTGCAGTAACTTGTCTTCCTCAGAAGGAAGGATGCTGCAGGAAGATAACTGAAGTTAGTGAGTTATATTGTATCGTAAGTTTTGTCCTTAAGAATTTTGTTAGGAACTTGTAGAGAAAGCCAAAATCCCATGTTCCACCAGTTCACACTGGCCAGTGTGAGCCTGAAACTTTGCCTCTATGTTTCACCCATCTTCAAGGCCGATTTCACAGAGTTTTACACATTTGGGTGTAAGCAGTGCCTCTGTGGCATTGTTTTCCAAAGCAGGACTGCAAAATCTAGCTGAGTCTAATCTGCAGAAGGAATTCAGGTTTGAGCACACCAGCAAGGGGCAGAGGTACCTCAGAGCATTACCTACATGAGAAACAACTCAGAACTTTCCATGCAAAGAAAAAGGGGGATAAACTAGTGGGGTAAAATGTCACAAGCAGGCATACTACTTAAATCATAGAAATTACAAAAATAGTCTATGTAACTTGTTTCTAGTTTAGCAGCTTGTGAGCTAGGAGTACTTAGTGATACAGAGAGAACCAAGTATGCAACCTTACAGGTTGTGCTAACAGAGATTTTGCAAGTGAGGACTCTCAAATTCTATTTAAGAAAAGAGGCGATACTGAAATCAGCTTCTTTGTGAAATGCAGCTTAGTACGAGTTTGACTAAATACCCTGCTCAATGCCAGTCAGCAGCTTCAGAGGTGCTCCTGCTATGTTTCCTTTGCTTAGGGCTTTCTTAGTTAAGGAAAGATAGAAAAGCAATGAGATCGAGATGTTTTCATAAAGGAAAACAGACAGGGCCTTGCCATGGAAGAGTTAGAATTAGCACGTCGAGATGTCCACTACACAATGTCTCTGATAGTTTTTCTGCTGGATTGCATTTGAATGTTTCACATCAAAAATCCATTGCAAGCATAAGGTAGGACTGACTGAAGGGTGGTACAATAGCAGAACCTTCACTTGTTCTAAATTACATGGCTAGATTTGTGTAAGAATGAGGACCATTCTGGGAAGCATCAGCACAAATAGGCTTATTTTGTTGTGGTTTTTTTTTTTCTTGAGGCTTAAAACTTGACATATTCAATCAATTCTACTGCTTCTGTTGCATTGTGGATTAGTTAATTGCAGAAGTGAAAATGTGTGCCTGATTTATTATGTATAGAGCTTTGGAAAATTACAAAAAGCAGGAACCTAGACAAGTCATCCAACTCCTCTCTAACGGCCTTTAGCAACAAGGAAATGAGACTAACTGTAGTAAAAATGCAAATAAAAACCACAACATATGAATTCAGGCCTCTGCCTTCGTTACAGAATCAATACGAAATACTTCAGTTCAGGCAGTCCAAAAGTTTAAAACCAAAACAGGAGAATAAACTCCAGTTTTTCACATCTGTAGCCCTGGCAGCAAGGAAATGTTGCCAAATTCCTTATCACTTACATGGCCATTTATACCCCCCATCACTCCACGTGGGCTCAAGCAGCCTCAGATAACAGCTTAGAGAAGCATCCAGAAATTAGAAGTTAGCCTTGTTTGGGAGACAAGAGGATCCTCTCCTGAAGTCTCTTCCATGATGACAGCATATAATTGTCAAGACCTAGAATCATAGAATTATTTTGAATTGGAAGGGACCTTCAAAGGCCATCTGGTCCAATCCCCCTGCAGTGCACAGGGACACCCACAGCTCCATCAGTGCTCAGAGCCCCATCCAGCCTGTCCTTGGGTGTCTGCAGGGATGGGGCACCAACCACCTCTCTGGGCAACCCATGCCAGTGCCTCATCACCCTCATTTCCTTATATCGAACAAAAATCTCCCCTCGTTTAGTCTGAAATCACTTCCCCTTGTCCTACGACAGCAGACTCTGCTAAAGAGTCTCCTTTTCTTTCTTACAGCCCCTCTTTACATATTGGAAGGCCTCTATTGAAGCACCTGTTGAACTGAACTTGACCAAAACGTAAACTGGAGTTTATGACCAGTCCAAAGTGCTCAGTGCTTCCTCCCAAACGTTTCTCTTCCAGGTTCAGGGCCTGTCCTGCTCAAACATAGCACCAAGCCCTGCTCCACAGGCACTCCCATCACACTACAGAGCGGGGCTGAGCAGCAGCAGCATGAAAAATTCTCTTTGGGAATGTTCCAGACACCAGATCTATTCAGGATAAAACATCAGAACTTGACGAGTTTGACTGTGATACAAGCTGATTTTGAGGAATCCATTACACAGCCATCAGCTTGTGACAACTCTTGGCTTTTAAAGACTGAAGCAGTGGCACAGAGGAGAGATCTACACACAGTTACCTAAGCTCAAATCCCCTTCGTGGTGAAGCATCTGATAGCACAGTAAGCATAAGTTTAGTGCTAGGAGAATGGAGCTCAGGCAGAAACAAAGCTTTCAATCACTGCATGTGCCTGTATGCATCAAATTTCTACACTGCTCTTTGCCAATTAATACTTTCACACAAAGCACACTGAGAAGCAGCTTTAAATCCCATAGATTTTGTTTGCTCTCCTGCCCTGATAGACTTCTTAGCATTTTAACACCGCTTTACGTGTCCAAATATTTGCCTGGATAAATAGATTTAGAGTACTTTGAATAAGCTGAGCTTTCTCTCAGGAAGCTGGGTGAGTCAAATCAGAAAAGAAATATGTATCTTGGGAAAGATCAACAGCACAACTACAGACAGGAAAATGAATGCAGAAGTTGGCACTAAGTTGATCAGGGAGGGTAGAAATGCCCAACCTATGCAAAACATGACTAGTCTCTGGAGTCAAATAAAACTTGCCAAAGGATGCATTTTCCCAAGCTTTGTCATTGCTACAACAATTTTTTTCTTAAAAATATGAAATATGTGCTTTTACTTCTTCTTAATGTGAGACACATAGCTACACACAGTTAGAAAACCATAATGCTGGAAACACCTCTGGAATCCTTGCATACATATAAGATGCAAGAAAAACAGTGTTGCTTACTCTTTTGTTACTGTGCTCTCAACCAAAGGAAGAAAAGGAATAAAATAACATAAGCAAGAGAGGGCTTGAGCTAATTTTGCACATCTCAGGGCACAGGCTGTCCTCATATGCTTCAGAAATCCCCGTATAGATATAGCAGGTTACATAGATCAATTGCACGCATACAATTAGGGAAGCAAAAAGTGATATTTCCACCATTAAATATAGGTTGGAGACTTAATAAGGCACAAAGTGAGGGAAATTAGAAGCTTTTAAATTGAAGTTATTATGTGCTGAAACAACTGCCAGAAATTACATGCTAATGTCATTCTCCTGCTTTTATTCCTCTCTGGTTCAGCAGCAAACCACTCTCCCAAGTCTCTTCCTACATCTGCAACTGCTCCTGTCTCACAGATTTGTCACCTCTCTCTCTTTTGACAAGGGACTGTCCCCCAGGAAAACACATCATCCTCCCCTCAAACACCCCAAGCCCAACAACTTCACCATGGGTCCGGCAATCTTCTCTCCCTGCGGTACCACAGCATTGAGCCCCTCCAGGACTTCTCCACGTCTGTGCCACAGCCCTGACCATAATCTGAGACTTTTCTCCTACAGTAAAAATCATGCTAGAAGGATGCAATTAGGCATTCAAGTTTTCTCAGCCTTGCCTTTCATTTCTGTATATGGGAAGTAGAAAAATCCAATTAAGGTTATAGCTTTTTTTTCCTCCTTCCTGATTTGCTTCAGTTAAAAGTAAACGACAGCCCAATGCTGGCCAAGCGGAAACTTGTGGCAACTTCCATTCCTGCCTCTAGGAACACAAAGAAGAATAAAAGAAACAAACTTCCAAAGTGAAGGACTGCCTGGGAACAGTGCTGTTAGCACCTGGGAACTACCCAGAATTAATGATGTTCTGTAGCCCACTTACAAGCTCGCTGTGCTCTCCTTAGCTGCGTTGTCCCAAATCCCCTCTGCAGCCACAGGTAACTCTGGCTCTGCTGGCTCTAAGAATGGCTGATGTTCATCAGTCTCCAAAATCAGACAGTGGCAGAGGTTTAATCACACGGATAACAATAAGCACAAAAATGGCATTATCTGAGGTGAAGCGCCTGTGGAGAGAGGAGAAAATTATACAAAGATTTACAGGGAACACAGGACTGAGGCGAAAAGCAGGAAGCCAGAAGTTCTCAGGCAATTATGGGTGACTTTCCTGGCAATCAAAACTTGCAAATCAAGTCCACCTCCTGCCCTGGTGGCTGATTGCCAGGAACAAGTTAATTAACCATCACTAACAAACGCACGTCTAGTCTAGACTTTAACAACTCCGCTGACGCTGGCCCCACCGCCTCTTGGCAGCTTCCCCTGCCCAACCTCCTGCAATTGCCTGGAAGCCAAATTCATCCTTGGGGAAAGCCTATTTCTTTAGCTTGCACCAGGAATGATCGCAGCCCAGTAAGTCTGCCTTGGCAACCTCCCCGTAACCTAAATCATCACATCTTTCTTTTTCTCCTTCCTCTCCTTAATACGAACCATCTTTTCATCTTCCTCACGCCAAACACTTACAGCCAGCACCTCTTCTCTTGCAGCTGATACTTACAAGCATTTATTCCACAAGCAGCTCGCTGAACTTTTTCTAGTTCATGGGTCTTACTTTAAAATTATAATTCACAAAATAGTCTAATTCTCCCAACGGCGCTGAGCTGAGTGAAATAATTACCTGACTTGTTTTAGGCCTCTGCTGGAGTCCAAAATTATACACTTGGAAAATTACGATTGTTTTATCTTCTTTCTTCTTTTTCTTCTTTTTCTTTTTTTTTTTTTCAGCTTCACAAGATGTGTGAAAGACAGGTTTTTATAAAGGACATAAAACCAGCCAAAACTATAATTATTACAGGCAGAAAAGAATCCAGAGAAAAGATGATTTTATGATTAAGGCACTGAATTAGAAATTCAGAAATTCAGCTTCTCTTTGTAGCTCTGCCAAAATCTTTCTCTCTAACCTTTGCTGAGTGAGTTCACTCCCTTGTGCCTCAAAGAAAGCACTTTGCAACTTTCTTGTTTTATGGTAACTGCTGTGAAAACACATTCATTCACCTCTGCGAGATGTTCAAATACACCAACAATCAGAAAACCACAAGAATTGGGCTGGTTTCAGTCATCTGACTACATTTAATCACCTTCTGTCAAAAGCATATTGCATCTCTGATCATAAGCACATGGCACGCAGCAGCATCACTCTTGAGAAACAAAGTTAAAGGAACTAAAGGAAAGCTAAAGCTAAAGGAAAAGAAAGACTAAACATACCTATTCCTAACAGAAAATATTTTGCAAAGCAGTACAGCAAATACCTAAATGTAGATGTGAAGCATAACATCCGTCCATCACCTTGTCCTCAGCACAGGGATCAGCTTAGGTCTCTTATAATTGACCAAAAATGTCAATTCATATTCCACTGGAGTTGTACCAACACAGGAGCAATTACAGAAGCTTCCACACTTGCATCTTGATAATGAGAAAAAAAAAACACTCAAAAAAAAAAAAGTTACTGAAGATATGCAGCTGATTTTCAAACTGACCTTAAAAACAGGTTGCCAGACGTGCTGGGGCATTCGCTGCGCATGGCTCTGGGCTGCAATGCAGAAAATCAACTTCCAGAGTGAATTCCATTTAGAAACTCTTAAACTGGGGAGTGAATGAAACGAGGACATGGGACCAGACTGCATCCCGTCTGTGTGAAGGGACCCCCATCCCAGCCACAGCAAGCTCACGGGGGTCTCATCTCTTCTCCTCCTCCCAGAGCACCAGGGCTGAGGGATGGTGCTACGTCAGCCGATCCTCCTCGTCTTTTCCATTGCTTTAATAAATTAAGCCAAGCAACAATAGAGATGAGGGAAAGCAGGACAATGTGGTAAATGTAGCAGAAAGAAATTTGAATTGTAATGAGGAGAGCTAATCAGAAAAAGAACGGACTATAGAAAAAGCACTAATGAGTTTCTAAATAAATTCAAAAGGTTAATATTGTTCTGTCTAACAAATAGGAGAAGAATCCTAATGTGAAAAGAAAGGCCTCACTCCAGTGCCCCCATGGCCACATGTTACAGCCACATCCAATCCAACTGCCAACACCTGGCTGGCCACTGCTGCTCCTGCTGCCCACCACAGGCTGCCTGGGCTTCCAACCAGACTCATGTCTTGGTCTCTTTGTTTCTGTACTTGAAATGTCCCAGTCAAAGTCCAATAAGTCAATGGACAGACTCTCTTTGACGTAGAGGGATTGCATCAGGTTTTTGTGCCAGGCTTATGTTAGCATTAACAAACCAGCCATCAGAACACAGTTTGCAAACCACAAGGGGAGTGCATGTCTGAATGCTGGGTGATGTGGTTTTTCAAGCACAACACTTCTATTACCGTGCGGATCATCAGGGTGAGGAGAATGCCCTGCAGGTGCACTACAGAAAGGGCAAGTAAATAGAAAAGTTTATAGAAATAAAAAGCTTGAAGGGCTTTTTTATTTGTTTGGGTGCTTGTTTGTTTTTAATTTAAGTGATAGCTGTATTTCAAAATGCAATCTAAGGCTTTCTATATATAAAAATCAAAAGCAAAAATATTCAGAGTTCTTTATGCATTCTATTACAAAACATGGTAAAAATGGTGCGCCAGCCAAAATGTGATTTTTTTTTAAAGCAAGAAAAGCAGCCCACTTCAAGAAAAAAAAAAATCCAATTCCCAGGAAAGTAATAGACTCACAGGCTTTTCATAAGAACAGAAGATCTGCTCAACCATTTTCTTGCTTGAAGGAAGGAAATCGTGCCATTATAATATTTTACTCTGAATACAAAAAAATCTGTCATGACATCATTCTTCAGGGAGAGATCTGTGTGTGTTTGTGTACATGGCTGCCCATATGTCTTCTGAACAACAAACAAAACGCGGAGGGAAGAGGCGAGGGAGCAGCACATCCATCTTCTCCCACTTCCACAATGCCAGGAGATGAGTTAGGCGAGGTCCCAGCGCCGCACCACACTGCACCCACAGCAATACATCTCACTGCACACACTGCTGCTGGCGTGGCCACATGGATCCTCCACTCCTGAAACTTGCAGAGAACAAAGGAAATTAAGATCTGTACCTTTTACTTTTCAGATACGTGAATCATCCTACCGCCAGTATAACGCTGCTGTGCCACAGCTGACCATTCTATGTACTTTCAGGGGAATTTGCATACTGCTACTCAGCCATTCATCAGCCACAAATAATTTTTGTTCGCCAGGCAGATTGAAGACTTCAGCTTTCCTTTTCTCCTCCTCCTAAAAGGGAGGGTGAGCATTTGTCCGTCACACTGGGAGTCACCAAAGCACAAACACTCACTCGAGGTTTTGGCAGAGTGTGAGGCAAAGATTGAAAGCCAAAAGTCTTGGATCCAAGAGACCACAGGACTGTCAAAGGTGCAGAGACAGGATAGCCAAGACTGTTTGCACGTAACCCTTTGAAAGCCAGTGGAAATGCCACTTAACTTCATATCGGTTACATGGAGCTCATCAGAGCTCTTCAACGTTTCCAGCTCAAACCATGAGGGAAATAAGATGGAAATTAGTAGATCAACTCATTCTCTTGAATTCGAGGTGGAAGTCACCCAGCTGGATGTTCCTGGCACTGCTCTGTAAATGGTTAAATGCAAAATTATTTTTTGTGACAAGGGGCACTGCAATGAAACAGCTAACTGTGGATAAACAAGACAGTTGCACAGCTCATCATAACCTTAATGATCCCCTCTAAATCATGCAGCCCCATCACCTAGATCTATTGGCCACATTAGCAGACTGCTGAGTGCAGGAAATGTGGAGAGGATCATTTTTAAATGGTTTTACGTGCCGTGCTCATTGGGAACCCTTTGAGATGGAGTCTAAAGCAGATGGTAAAATGGGAAAATTATTCACATTAATTCTTCAGCAGCCTAAAATAAATAAAAAAATAAACGAAGTAATGAAAGCCTCATTCAGTCACGCTTCTGCAACAGTCATAAAAGCTCCAACAGGAAGAAACCAGCACTGTTCTGTTCTTTGCCACAAACCTGCTGCTAGTTAATTGGCTTCAAAGACACTGGGACATTAATATCCTGTAAAAAAAATAAATGATCTGCTCCATTCTTTGGCTATTGTTCAATGGTCTGATGAAAGAACAAGCTGAAACAGCAAATAAGCCTTACTGTATACAGTGTGCTTTGTATCTATTTCAATTTTCCTTCACACACATTTCCTACAGAACAACATCTTTTGCTTGGAGCTTTTCTTACCCTCTGGAAATTGTTGCAGTGTGATTAGTAGTACCCCATTTTACAGACAGGGAAACTTGAGGCACTGCTTGCATCCCAAGGGGGAACAGCAAAGTCATAACAAGAGCTTATATCTAATCCAACCCCAAGACTAAGTTGTCTTGCCAGCCCCATAGGATGAGCGCTTCCACCAAGACCTGGTTTATCACAGCTTTGAATCCCCCTGAGCTGAACACACTGTGACCCCAGCCAAATAATTCAGCAGCTCCAGGACTGGTTCTCCTTCACCTACATGAGCCTGAGGACCTGAGAAGCAGGAGGCTGCTGCAGTAGCAGTGGGATATACAAAACTTTACCTGCAGTCTTAAAAACAAGTCGCAAACAAAGAACGCTGCAGCATTGGTAAGATATTTCTACACAACAGCAGTACAAAGCTCTGTGGAACTACTGAAAGCAAATGATTCCAAAATACTAAAAATGAACTTCTAAAAATGACAAGCACCAAATATACCTAGTATTAGGAGACAAAGTCCAAACTTCTCCACAGCTGTTAGAGGAACGCGGTGCAAGCTGCTGAGTTATTTCATTCCTGATACAAAGTTATTTAAATCCATATCTGAAAGGTGAATCAAATCTCTTGCCTGTTGTGGCCAAGGGCTCTTAGCAATATTTACTACATGGAAATCTCTGACTCGTCCCTGAAACAACACAGCCCCATTGCTTTCCAGCTATTTTATTTCCTATTCATTTTTTGGCACAAGGAGTAGGACATACTCCTTGTACACATATAGGATGCTACAAGGCTTACAACAGCTTGTAGATCTCATCTGCATTCCTCTAAGCTCTGCCCATGGTGCCTGACACACTATTTTAATTGTATCTTCTCTCTAACGCGCTAAGGTGTGCAAAACGAGTTCAGCTCTCACAGCAAGAGCTGCCATCAGCAGTGAGCTGCTGCTGTAGTGTTTTCCTGTCAGGTTAGTGCCAGGGTAAGCAGCCAGCTGTTTTGGAGAATGAACATATGTGGATCTACATCAGCTGGATGCAGCGCCCTGCTTCATTTCCTAGAGTCCAGCAATGGAGAGACAAAATTTAACCACTCTAGAGCTATCCATCATCTGGACAGTGGCTGCTCAGCAGCCCAGGCTTAGGGACAAGAGGCAACAGCAGCGCCCTGGCTGGGAGCAGCTGCCTCCCATCCTCAAAAAAAAAAAAATCTTTCTTTCCATTTCGGAACATCCCCTGGGGCTGAGACTTTCCTGCCTTGCTCCTAAAGTGAGGCTGTTCCTGGAGTGGAGGAGATTATGAAAAATGTCTCTGTGCTCCTGTTGTCTATGCTCAGCATCAGCTGAAAGCTTGGAGCCCTGGAAAATGCACAGCTTGGTAAAGGTCGTGATCTGAATGCAGATAATTCATGGACATGAATTTATCTGATGAATTACTCTAAACATATAATTCAACTGGCTCCACTGAACACGCATAGGATGTGTTGCTGCAGCTACCCTAAATAAAAAGCAAGACATTAAATAAGGACAGTCACTTGTGTGAAAGCATAATGTTTTATTTGCCACAAATATGCTAATTCTTTAATTTTCACACCGTGTGCTAACTAGATATACAACCTGAGCAAGATGCCTTTACTTGTAGCTGATTATTAGGTAGCATACTGCAACTGATACCATAGGTTTTAGTCTCTGATTCAGTAGTAGGTTAAATTTTTACCTCATTCTGATCATGCAGTAACTCTGAATTGTTTACCAACATTTAGGACTGTCACACATTGGCAATGGCCCTGTGCTGCCTACTGGGTACATTTATTGGCAGGTTTGGCAGAAAATGCATCATTCTTTCCTACATCTTCTAAATAAAGAGCAAGATGCAACAAAGAGCCAGCTATTTCAGTACCCACCCCAATGTCCTGATGAACTTCCTGTCTTCTGGACTTTAGTTCAGTGAATTTAGACAATGAATGCAAAATGAGAAAACTTTGAATTTCAAAGGCTCACTGCAAAATGAGGAGAGCTGGAGCAATGTGTCTGCTGGGGTGCAAAGCATCCTCTGAAGCCCAGCAGCTTGTCTCCATGCAAAGCAGACCAGCTTGAGCCCCAGGCAATACAGGTAACTCACAGGGACCCATTTCATTTAATGCATCTGTACAATCAATAGCTGTACAATCAACAGGCGTACAGAGGTTAGGTGCAGTCAGATTATCACAGTGGAAAGGTAATCAAAACAAATGGAAACGCTCACCTGTGTCACAGGCTGACAGCAAACTCCACAAGGAGCAATCTCCAGAAAGAGATCCTTCCTCAGTGGCAGTCAGCACTTAATTGGGATCTAGGAGAGGAGCAGCCAGGCTCCACCCCTTCCAATAGCACAGCTGAACTGCCCTCACCTGTGCTCCTGTGGCTGAACCATTGCTTGCCTCAGGTGGTCAATCAGAGTTTCAGGCCGTGATCAACAGTTCCCACACTGCGTCCTTTTCTCTCGAGCTTCACTGGTCCTGCTGCTACCACTGTACAACTCCTCATTTTAAAAAGGCTGTTTGCTGTTACTGTGATCTCTCTAAATACAAGCTCCCACGTGGAGGGACCACAGGTATCATTTTCAGTAGGGTCTGGGGAGGTTAGAAACAATTTATTCTGCCGGCTGTAGGTAGGCCTAGGCAGAGCTAATCTAATTATACAGCAACTATGGGAATTGTCTCCAAGGAAGAAGGCACAAGGTGCAGTCCAAGAGGAATAAATTGCAATTCATCCAAGCAAGGAGGCTCAAAGATACAGATCTAGGACTGAAGCATGCAATTCCTGCAAGGAATACACTTGCACATGGTTAATTATGCTGACTGCTCGTTCAGGTAAATGGAAGCGTGTACTTAAAGCTGAGCTCACATTTCAGTGCCTTTGGAAGCTGGGACAGTACGAACATTGCAGCTTGGGTCCTTCTTGGAAATCAGCAGCCTTGGGGGGGGTCAGGCTTTGCTTCACAAATTACAGCAGTATCTCCAAAGGCTTTCAGCCACATGTGGTGCTCACACCTCCTGCGGTGTTTTGCCGTGACAAAACAGAGACAGGGAAATTTGCCACGATGGAGTCTTACTGAGGCAAAATTACTGTCACCCCGCGCTGCTTGGAGCTGCTGATTGCTTTAGTGCTTGTGTACAGTGCCAGCACAGACAATTTCAGGAGATGAAGAAAACTGAAAAACTGTTTTGAAAACAAGCGCAACTTTTTGCATCTCCTGAAAAGTTCAAGAGCATTGTTGTTTCAGGACAAATTTTCAATTTAATTCTTATCTTATCCGAACGCCCAATCTCTTTTGTCATCAGTTATTTTCCAAGGCACTGAACAAGAGAGCTCTGCACTTACATTTAAAAGGCATGGCAATGGCACGGAGCACTTCAGCTCGCCTCCTGCAGAGATAAGCCCACACCAGGCAGCGGGCAGCCTCCAGACTTGGGGATGTTCAAATCCAGAACATGTCAGGGTAAGGTCCCAGAACTCTGAAAGTAGCAGCATATAACAGTATGAGGAACATTTCTGTCTTGTTCTCTTCACCATCTCACCCTATTTCTCCACTCAGCTCACAGGCAAGACAAGCAACACAAGCAGGACTTCAGCCAGGCATGTTTCTTGGCCACGACAATCTATGAAGCTCATCAGTAAAAGCTTAATGTAATTCTCCCTTTGAAAAATGCACATCTATTAAATGGAAGCTGATCAGAAGAAAGGGTCACTTCCATATCTGGGGGTGTTTATTTATTTATTTACACAAGGGCAGAAAAATGTATTTAAAGTTCAAATTAAAAATGCTTAAAGCTAGATGAACTATTAAAAAGAAGTCAGGACAGCAATGACTTTGTTCAAATAAAGCAAATAAATTAACTGATCAGCAAAAGTGTCTGAATTCAAGTTATTCCTTCTGATTCAAAATCTTACACACTTTCCTGGGAGAAGAAAATTGTTTCTCATACTACTTTACCAATTCAGATACTGTCACCATACTTCATAATCCCTTTTTGAGAACACTTCTCCAATTCTTAAGTAAATGATTTGTTTTCTTCCCCAACTCCCTCTCAAAATCTTTTTGTTTTCCCCTGGAGTGTCATATATACTCTTTGTTGAAAGAACAAAATGGATTCAATGGACTTTACAAAGGAAAACAAGAGAAAGAAAAGCATAACCTTTTTCATTAAGCCAAAGCACAACCTACTCAACTTTATTTCTACAGCCGAGTCCTTCAAAATGGATTGATGGTGTTGTTGTTATGCAGACATCAAAAGCTGATCAAGGACACTGAGACAATCCAGGGGACACCTGGGATTTGGTGGACACAACCTCCTGCTTTCCACAGGGACCTCAGAATGGCAAGCCAGCCTGGTTTTGGATAGCGTGGGTTTGGAACAGAACATGCACTGTGGCAGTGGAGGCAGGTCTATGGCAGCCTTCATACTCAGCAGGACATGTTATGCCAAAACATGTACATATGGGAAACAAGTGACAAGCAGAAAAGAAGAAACTGCTTCAGACAGCATCTTCATTCAACCAGCATAAAATCAGCTGCTCAGCAATGGGCTCTGGTTTATTTGTTAGAACAGGCAGCCTGAACCTGGGGGATTAATAATAACACCACGAGCAAGGCAATAGATGCCTCCAGAACAGGCACTTTCAGCTTTGCTTTAATATAGGGTAAGGGAAGAAGGAAGGAAACAAATGCAATAGGAAGGAGTGGAGCAGCAGAACAAGATGACAGCACAGTGACAGGAAACAATTTATAACTTACTCAAGAGCCTTTTCCAAGTCATCTGTTCTGCAGCACAAACAGCAGTGGAGGTTTGTTCGGCTACATTGTACAGACACACAAGCATACACATATTCAAAGCTGTTTGCAACCACCTCACTCATCCTAAGCTGAGAGATGGTTTCATCGAGCCACATCTGCTCTGATTTGTTGCTGTGCTTAGTGCTGAACAAAACAATTCAGAGTATTATGACAAACCGAAGAGGGAAACCTCACTGAATTCCATGGAAACTTCTCCAACAATACAGGAGTTGTGAGTTGGGATTCATGATTTTTTGTGCAATATGCTAAAGTCAGAAATAATAATCCCAAAGAATATCCCAAAGACATCCTTTAACCATAAACTATTCTCTGCCAGCTTATGAGAAAAAGCCGGGTGCCCCAGGCCAATAAACTGTGGCCACTAGAGCCCGGAGAGGCAAATCACAGTGCTGTCCTCGCTCAGGTCCTTGTATGAACCCCAGCACTTAAATACAGGGTTTGATTGTTAGAGCGTCCCTTTGGAGCTCATTAGCCACAATGGTTTGGGCAGGGACAAGAAGGTTCTCAGAAGTCTTGCAAGACCTACTTGGCATCCCTGAGCTTGTGCTTTGAGCTGGGTCACAGCCTGCATCTGTGAAAACATGTGCTGTTGCTCTCACATCCTTACTGCAGACAGAGTTTGCATGGCAGCAGTGCCAGCCCCTGCTAGTCATCTGTGTTCAGAGCTGTTTCTTACTCAGGTTAACTAGCAATACTTCACCCATACAGAAACTGAGAGCACTCAGTTAAGGAGAAAAACATAAAGGAAAAAGTGCTACTGGAATGACTTGTACAAGAAGTAGTATGGGAATGACTTGTTAAATTTACACCCACAAAATCACAGAATAATTACCCAAGCCTTCTGTTTGCACAGTAATTACAATGCTACAGTTTAAGGAGGAGGAGAAGAATCTCACCCATCAGTGTGGTTGGTTTCTAGCCACCTCCCTCTCACGCTCCCTCTGTTCCTGTACAGCAGAAGGGATCCATCAGCCCCATGGCTCCCCTTGGCCCTCCTTCAGTTCCATGTGCTGCCAGAATGGGCTGTGGTGGCCCTGAGCCCCCTCCTGAAACATACTGGGGCACAACAGCAGCTGCTACAATGCAGGCAGCACAGGTGCCTTCAGGTGGCCAAGCAGTGCCATGGACAGAGTTACCAGAAGCATGGGGCTCCCAAAACACAACCCAAGCAGAGCCCAAAACAACTACCTTTCTAAATTCTAATTAAATCCATCAGAAAAACACGTGAGGAAGAACTGTTTGACTCAATGTGACAGAATGCCTATTTATAGTGCTCTCTGAGCTTGCTGCACGAGCTGCTTACATGCAAGAGCTCTGCTCAGAGGCTATGCTTGGATAGAGGGCATCTCCTCTTCATCCTCCCAAACAGCCCCCCATACCCAGGGCAGGCATTCACTGCTCCATGGCCATCTCAAGAAAAATTACTGCATTCCTCAGACCCACACTTTTCACACAATAAACTCTCGTTGCCTTTCTAGCTCCTCCTGCCTGCACAAGAGGAATCTCCTTAGTTCTCCTTTTGGGGCTGGAGAACTGTCACACCAGCTCAGCTGGGACCAAGGAGGTGGGACCTTCCCCTTGCTAGCAGACAAGAGCTTCAAAGCCTGCAAGTGACCATAGCAGACCGCTCCCAGCCTCTTTTAAAACACCACTGCAAACTCCCAGCTTGAGGCATTAAAATTTAATTACCAGGGACAGCTGGATCTGGGCAAGGGTCTGACTCTGAGGACCTGAATAAAAAAAACTTCATTCAGCAGCAAGCTGTCCAGCACTGAGGAAATGGACTCAAGCCAGATGTTATTCATACATCTTGAGGTCTTAGAGATTTTGCTCCAGCAGCTTGGCCAGCCAAGCAGCCAAATGCAGCCTTGCTGCCTGCGGTACAAATGCCTGGGGACCCACTTTTCCCATCCCCACACTTTTTGGGAGGGATCCAAGTCCTGATACATCAGTGACCTTCATTTTAGGGAACACAGGTGGTGGTGGGACAGGAGGACACACACACTGGTTCAGTGTGCTGCTGGAGCATCCTGCGCCCCATGGCCATGGCTTACAGTGAATGTGCAGGTGACAGATTTTGTATTTTCAGTTGGAAATGAAATTCAATCTCACACAAATAATTATATTTGTTTTCCCTTCAGCTTCCAGTCAGGCTTAGCTAGCTACTGAAAAAGCCAAATACTCATCAAATTTGCCTTTCCTCTACTTTTCAGTGCCAAATGTTGTATTTTTTTTCTCCTGGACAAGTAGTATTAACTTAAATACCTGGGCATCAGCTGCATTCTAGTTTTTTGTCAAACTGATCAGAACTGGCAAGAAAACCATCTTCCTATACACAAACAGCAATTTTTAAACAGCATTTTGTTTGCAGAGAAAGAAAGGGAAGACAGATCAGTTTTGAAACTGTTTGCAACACAGACTCAATCTTCTCCTTTACCCCAGCAAATCTACAGTTCTCTCAGTTGTTTCAAAGGCAGGTGGTTGTTGCTTTCCAGTTCTTTTTTTTTTTTTTCTTTTCTTTAAACACAAGCATCTTTTCCTGGATGAAGTGGTGGAGGTGCAAGGCAGCACACAGGCAGGAGGAGTGGATCCCTTTGGGATACCCAGGGGTGCATTTGGCATTCGAGGTTCCCCAGCGCCTCTCCTTCCCCCCGGCTGCTCCTGGAAGGAGCTTTCGGGGGTGTCACTCCTCGGTGGCCGTATGCGGGGCTCTGTCCCCCCCTGGTGCTCGGCTCACGGAAGGACACGACAGAGGAGCCTCAGAAAAGCACGCAAGCTGAGGTTTGTGCAACAAACACAGAATCACAGAATGGCCAGGGTTGGAAGGGACACAAGGATTGTGAATCTCCAACCCCTCTGCAACACGCAGGGCCACCAACCTCCCCATTTCATACCAGCCCAGGCTGCCCAGGGCCCCATCCAACCTGGCCTTGAACACCTCCAGGGATGGACGGGGCATCACAGCCTCTCTGAGCAGCTGTTCCAGCACCATGGGTGTTGCAGTCACCTACTACACATGGGTGACAGACACATGGTAAAGATAAGATCAATTAAGAAATCCTCGTTTAAAAAAAAAAATGCTGGATGCATTCTTACCTCCTCGGGGCAGAGATTGAGCCAAGGCTCGCTTTGCACTTTCCCAGTGGAAATATGAGCAGAGATAATGCTCTGGGTCTGAAAAAACCCACAGCAAGCAAGTAATGCTCTGCTTCTCCAAGAAATGCACTGAGTGTATTTGGAAAGGTTCTGAAGAGCAAGATGGCACTTACCAGTATCTGGAGGAAGTGATTGCTGCTGCCCTGGAAGGCACGCCTGAAGGATTTGCTTTACCCCAGTTCTGGTTTGAGGTAAAGAAAGGCAGGATAGTTCTCACTGAAAGCCAACACTGTCCTGAGAGGCAAAAACAGTTTTCCATTTAAAAATGTGTTTGTTTTGCTAGCTCAATTTTTAATCTACATAAAGCACACTGGATATGTAACCATTTGGTGGAGAAAGTTTTTACCATGGGGGTTCCTGGTCTATGATGAAACTAGAAGAAAAAAAAAAAATCCACCTTTCACTGAGAATGAGGAAAATGAATGCAGACATTTTTAAACCACATAATTCCCATAAATTCATTAGAAATCCACCTAAATGTTCTCCAAAATATTTTCATTCTTATAAGGGAAAAATGTTTCCAATTTCTAGCTGTTCAACAAGTTAATTAAAAGAGAGCAGGAAAGCTCTTTTGGAAATCACTTTTAAAATCCTCCATTGTCCATTCAATCTTAGGCCTAAAAGCCTCTGGAAGTTTAACAGCAAAAATAATCTTCTTGGTTACTGCAAACAAAAATAAACAACCACAACGTATGTGTGTGTGGGGGGCAGGGTTTAATCATCTTGGTGGAAAAAAATGAGAAACATTTATTGGTGGATTTGATTAAAATTACTTGTAGAAATATCCTCAGTCTCATCACAGACCTATCAGTGATGGGAAAAGCCTCTGGCATTAAAAACATGCCATTAGCAGGCAGGTACTTTTGTGTGTGTACTGTTAGCTTTTCGAAAGCAAATTCATCACGCACCTTGCTCACCTCTGCAGCTCTCCTCTGGACTCTCTCACAGTTTTATGTCCTTCCTGTGTTGCAGCACCCAATTCCGCACACAGTGCTGAAGATAAGTCCCTTCCCACCTTTTGTGTTGTCCCTTATGGAGGAAGATGGATCCTCCTCCACCAAAGAAGCCACGGCTTCAGGGGAGCAGCTGCAAACCTGAGCCGACAGCTGTAAACCAGCAGAGAGCAGCGTCGAGCCCATGGAGATGGACATTCTGCTAGAGGAGGAACCCATGGAGGTGCATCCACCTCCATCGAGGCAGGCAGGCACCCCAACATCGTGTCTGCATGGAGACGCTGCTACATCCATCAGCAGCGCACCAGGGGCTCTCGATTTCCACCCTGGCCCTGAAATGTCACCATCTGCCAGAGAGCCCTGCGCCAGCTGCTGCTCCCTGCCGCCCTTTCTTCCCCGTCCTCCATCCTCATCCTTCCCCAAGAGCTCTCACCTCTTCTTTCCCAAGCTCTGAGGAAACGGGAAGGACTGGGACTGCTGTGCCATAAGCTGCTGTGCTGATAGGAGACAAGTCCAGCGGATGGCCCTGAGCTCCATGCAGCCTCACGTGAGCCCTGAGAAAAGGGCAGGACTGGGACTGGTGTCCTGTGAGCTGCTGCACCAGGACAGCAGGAGCAGCCCAGCGATGGTGCTGAGCTCCCTGCGGCCTCCAGCGGTGTCACAGAAGCTACAGAGGCGGCTGTTCCTTTGGGGAAGCGGAGGATTTTGGTTTGGATGGGAAGAAGGGCTGAAGTGCAGCATGAAGGTCCATTCCAGTTGCTCCATTGGGACTGTTGTTTCAACACTGGGCCATAAACAATTTAAAAGTAATTTGTTAAGCAAGCAAAACCAGTCCGTGCCTCTCCATTTGGGCGCTCTGGCTGCGGACAGAGCTTTGGGAGGAGGCAGGGCTATAAACCTCCCAGAGCTTCTCTCAGTGTGTGATAGAAGCTCTGCACCTTCCCATGAAGCCTGTCCCATGGCTCCACAGCTCAATGAAGGAGAGATTTTGTTGTTGGTTTTACATTTGCCACGATTTGCCCACGTTCTGAGTCCGTCACGTGTTCCAGCAGGCTCTCACATACGTTTGCAGCTTCACCCCAGGCTAATGCAGACTCAGCCTATGACCAAGTCAGATGTCACCATCATGATCCTCTTCTGAATTACTTCATTTAAGCCTACTAATGCTCTGGGAAACCTCAAAAGAAAGCCAGGTGAATCTCCTACAACTGCGGGTTCTGAGCTAGCTGAAAGTGCTGCGGCCAGAAAAGGCTCAGTGACCTTCTCCTTCTCAGCAGCAAATTGCTCCTCCAAGCAGATCTGCTCTGGCATCACAAGATGTAAGGATGATGAGGTGTTGCAAGGAGCTGTGCATTTCCAGCCCATATCTGCTGGCTGGCAATAAGATGATGGATTAGCTCTATCCATTCCCAGGGGATGGTAGGAACAGCACTTCCCCATTCCCACCCTTTTTTTTCAGTTTCTCTGTTGATAGCAGTGCCTGATTGCTTCACGAGTCTCCTGGTGGTGTCCTCTAGTGGTTCCTACCCATACAGGAAACACAGTTTCTTTGGCTAATTTATGTCAGCTGCACTGTAAAAAGCATTTGGGGGAAGGAAAACCACAAACTTATGACATGACTCAAAGGAACAGAAAAATACGAAATTTTCTTCCTTTGGTTATGTGCTTAAAAGCTATAGCAATATTGAGTCCTCCCTAATATTGAGGCAGTTTTACAAAAGGTAACAAACAGCAGCACAATTAAATACTTTTGAAGTGACGGCTTTCTATAAATATAGGAAAAATCATAAATGACCAGCAGAACTATTAATTAACATCTGAAAGCAGATAAATAATGAATAACGAGTGTCATGTATTCATTAAGATTCTACAAAGGAAAAATATCTCTCCCGGTTATTCCTTTGATGAATCATAGCCCAAATATACTTGAACCGAACATAAAAAATTCACAACGCTCGTATTTCAGTCTCTATCAGCCACTCTCTGCTCCCCAAATCTCAAAGCCAAGAACTGCAGATGTCTAATCACATCATTGATACCTACCTCATTCTGCAGCCTTAGACAAGTCATTTACTCTGTCGTGACCTTAATACAAGAATCTCTCTAATAAACCCTTGTGAGGTCCTGCATAATTTTTGGAGATGAGACGCCTGCAAGGTGAGCGGTTAGCTAGTGGGAGGTGCAGGGTGTGGGGTGGAAACCTCAGCATTTGATCCGAGGACTCCAACAGCTGAAACTATGGTTTATTCAAGAGATCATCTTAGAAGACAAGAAGGTCTGCATCTCCTATTTGGGTCTACTTGCTGCATTATCAAAATACGTTAAAAATAAAGCCACAGATATGCATAAATAACATTGCTTCTTTGCTAAAACATTTTCCAGAAGCAACCAAGTCTCTTTTGAAGAACCAGAACCAAGCACGCCACTGAAATCCAAAAGCAGCCTTGGGCCTTAAGTCAGCTCTGCAACTAAAAACATTAAGAAAATACTCCCCTGAACATCTGCCACGTCACCAGCCTACAACACAAGGAGCTGCATCACACCATGACTCATTGATGGCAACTCAACAACTGCCCTCATGGGCTGGTCCTCCTCCCACTCCAAGCCCTGATGAAGAAGGAAGCATGAGGGCAAATTGTCACCAGACCCTGCTGCCCCTTCCAAGGAATTCCTCAGCCCAGCGATTCTTTTTTCTCTCACAGCAAACGTTTTCACTAAACATTAAAATAAGGTTCCTGAAGTGTACCAGCAGTTGTTAATAAAAGACATGCTTTCCCCTGGGGTTTGTCAGCTCTGCACTTCAAAGCTCATTTTACACGCAGGCCGTCGCTGTGTTTTAAAAAGTGAATGTTAACATGAGCTCTTTAGTCACCTGAATAAAAGTATCAGGAGCCCCCTCTCCTTCCCCTTTCCATCTAACTAAAAAATACATATATACCAGCAGCTTTGGATGGATTTAAAAATGCCATTGTTCTTCTGATATATCGTTACTGCTTTGCTTTGTGTTTTGAACTCATGCTGTTCCAGCATCAACCCTCTGCTCTCCCAGATCCTGAATCTCTCCAGCTCCTGCTTTGTTCCTTCTCACAGACAGCCCAGACTGCTTGGGCACTGGCACTGAAGTGGAGCATGAACAGCTTTGGGCTAAGATATTCCTCATGCACCACAAAGCTCCCGAGGCATTTTGCTCAAGCAGGTGCCAGCTGACCTTTGCTGACAGCAAGAACAGAGTGGTTAGTCTTGCCCCCGTTCAGTTATTGTCCCTCCTAGTTTAAAGGCATTTAAACCAAAGAGCATATCAGCATTCTGATTCCCAATCTCTATTTAGACGTAGGAGATGCTGGGAGGAAGAGGTGTGAGCATACCCACTCCAAGGTTAAAAATAAAAATACTCTAAGCTTTATGGATGTGACAGACCAAGTGAAGTTGATGCAGATACGGCCCATCTCAGATGTGCTGCATGCTGCAGCCCAAACCAGTAAAGGGATGGAGAAACCAATTTCCTTGTGCAATGTTGTCTCATTGCCCTTTTTTGGGTTCCCTGATGGAGGCCTTCATCTTACTGTTTTTTGCCATCAGCTCTCCAGTTTTTCCCATTCACAGGAACTCCTGGGTTGCCTGCATCCAGGCCAGAAATTGAGTGCTTTCTCCTTTCACTCTCTCTTTTTAACAACGCCCATCTTTAGACAAAGCCCAAGAACCCAGCACTGGTGGGGAAGGAATGCATCATACCCAGTGGGTCTTGTCCACAGTGAAGACACCTGGATTTAAGGGCTGCAGATCTGCCAGCAGCAGCCCAATTCAAGCAAAACTGGCTGACTGTGCATGTGAAGGAGCCAAGCTCCTATCACAACCAGAGAGGAAACTCCTCACAGTGTTAATTAAGAGTGTATAAATTAAGTACTGCCTACTGATAGGGATAAGCTATGGGGTGGATGTAAGGTCTAAAGCAAAGAGCAGCTCTTAAAGCCATGAAACCAAACGAGAATTAAAGCAAAAAAATATATTACCTCTAGTGATTTGGATAATTACAATGACATATATATGTGTATTAAATTCATATTTATTGTAATTAATGGATTACTTAAATCACCACGCAGTTGATAGAAACTGTATAGACAAATTAGAATGACTTATAATTATTTTAAATCCTTCGAAAGTGAGAAATATTTTCTAACATGTATTGAAAGATTCTAAGTCTAATTGTAGCACACAGTTGCAAAACGCTCTGTTTTGGCTGATGGTTTTTTTTCTAGCAATTAGAAAGTGGTTGATGATGTAATTGCACTCTTGCATAAGATCTTTGCAGCTTAGATAATTTTTTATTGAATACTAATCAGAAAACATGTGGTGGGAAGTAGTAATATTCTGTTTTTCTGGCATTTCTGCAGACACAGTTTGCAGCTCCAGCGCAGGTCTTTGCACCACAGACAAGAGGGGTGGAAGTGGAGAAAAAAAAAGGAAGAAAAAGAGTCAAGCAATTAATGCACAGTAACTTCCCTCAGAAAGGATTATCTCTGCATTAGAAGAGCGTGCGGTTAAGGTTAATTTCAGATGGAGGAATAATCTCCACATGAGAGTAAGAAGATTAAAAGTCAAAAGACAGCGTAAAAATTCTTCATCACATTTTGTTTGTTTGATTCAAAGATTATGATTCAGTGGTGGCGGGCTGTTGGGTTTTTTTCCCCATTTAGGTCTATGCTATCAATTCCTGACCTGCAGCACTGTAGCTTTAAAGCAGCAACCAAAGTCTCTTTGAAAAACAGATGGGTTTAGACAAAGGTAAAGCCCAATTCCCTCAGTCAAGCAGCAAGAATCTGCCTTGGCTTAACTCTGGTCTTGCAGGAACTGTGCTGAACTCCGCAGGACCAGCCAGCCTCAGGTGACTGGAACAACAGAAGCAGAGGTATCATGCATTGGCATCAAGGCCCAAAGAAAGCAACTCTCCAAGTCACTTACAAGCTGG